TAACTACTATAATTTTAATATATCCTAAGGTCTTATTTACTTTTATTTATAATTCTTAAGTAAGCTTAAGTATATTAAGAATACTTATTAGTTATTAGCTAATAAAGTTCTAAGCTAGTAGTTAGTATAGTTAAGAGTAAATCCTTACTATTATATATAATTCTCTTTTAATATTTATTTTATACTTAACTTATTTTTAAAATTAATATAGCTTACTATATAGTAATCTTATAGTCTTAACTATATTATAAATAACTTATTTATTATACTTATTTAGTAGTTACTAAAATATCTTAATATATAATATTTAGAATTATTTACTATATTCTTATTTAATAGTTAATAGCCTTTTTACTTATAGTAATAGTTTTAGTTATTTATATACTAAAGTTTATAGCTTTATATATAGTTTATTTAAAGTCTTATTTTAGTTACTATTATTTCTAGTAGTAACTTTATACTTTAGTATAAAGTTATAGTTACTTATTAAGAGTATTTAAGGTCTCTTTTATATATAGCTAATCCTGTTTATTATATACAGAGTCTTATATTTAAATTAGTTAGGTAAAAAGGTATTAGGTTTACGCCTTAAAGTCCTTAATTTCTTATAGATATTATTTCCTAGCTACTATAATAGTCTTAATAACTTCTTAGGAGTAGTTTTTATTAAGTGTCTTTAGTAGGTTATAGTTTCCTTAAGTAGCTATTTATTATTCTAGCTGACTTTTTACTAGTTTTAGTTTCTTAATATTAAGTGCACTAAGGTACTAGGTTTTTAGCTAATTATAGGTTTTTATAAGTTTTATAATAATATTTTAGTTTTAAATATCTATAGCTTACTTTTTTCCTCACTATATTAATAAGTAATTACTATAGTCTACTAGTTAAGTTACTAAATATCTATAGGCTTACTAGCCTAAGTTATAATACTAGTGTTTTCTTTTAAGGTTCTATTATATAGTCCTTTAGTAATAGCTTTAGTTATTTTTTTAATCTTAATCTAGTTATAAAACTTATATATATTAATTATTATAAACTACTTCTATTAGGCTGTCTTAGTATTACCTCTAGGCTACTTAAGGTACTATCTTACTTCTTTTTTACTATCCTTATAGGTTAGGTAATTATTATTATAATAAGTAGTTTATAAGAGTTATTTATAGAGGGTTTCCTTTTAAGCTACACTAGTCTCTTTAGTATATTTAAGTAGGTTCTTATACCATAGTCTTTTTAGCTATCTATAGTCTTATATAAAGTGTTTTATCTTTTTATAGTTATAGTATTTAATAGTGCTAATATCTTATACTAGTTACTAGTCTTATCTTTTAGTAACACTAACGTCTATAGGTCCTATATACTATCTATAAGTAGTACTTAGTTAGTTATTATATACTTACTACTAGGTGTTTTATCTTTAGTTCTATTAGTATAACTACTTAGGTCTTTAGGTGTACTTCTTACTTATATTTATATTTAGTTATTAAGTCTTTTCTTATTTCTTATATTATTTAAAGAGTTATATATTAATTTTAATACTAAGCTTAATATAAAATAAGAAGTCCTTAAGTAGGTTAATAATCTTAATAAGTTTATTATTAACGTTATCTTTAAGACCTTAGAAAAAGGTAAAAATTAGTAATTCTTAAGTAATATTAAGTTAAGTAGCTAGTTACTAAGACTTAGCTATATAGTATAAGGCTAACTTAGTCTGTTATAGGCTAGCTAGGTCTTACTTAGCTTATTATTTCTTATTAAGGTCTTAGAATAGTAACTATAAGGCTTTTATAAAGCTAGTTATAGTTCTAAAGATATTTTATATCTTAAAGAAGTAAATAGTAAGGTTACTATTATTCTTAAAGAACTCCTCTTAGTAAGGCTTATCCTAAGTAAGTGCCTTTTTATAAAAGAAAGTCCTTATATAAATAACTTATTTAGTTTTATTTCTAAAGTTAGTAGTATAAAAGGTCTACTAAGTATATACTTAAATTAGAAATCCCTTTAGTTATCTACTAGTACTATTATAAGTACTAAGTAAATTAAGCTTAACTTTATTATACTTTTTTATAAGGGTAGTAATAATATTAGCTACCTCTTATAAGGTCTAGTTATCTTTTTAAAGTTTAGTAATTTCTTACTATTTTTCTTTAAGCTTAATAAGAGTAGTAGTAATTATAAATTAAAGTTTATAAACTTTATTACTTTTACCTTTAAGTTTATTTCTTAGTTTATTTATTATAGTCTATAGTTTAGCTATATTAGAACTATTTTTTTTAATTTAGCTTATAATAATACTATAGGTTTATTAGATATAACTAAATTTTTATTAAATACTTTAGTGTTCTTTATCTTATTATTTAGGTTCTATATAGAGGTAGCTAAAGGCTTTTTCTTACTAAAACTAAATAAAGTAGAAGTAGTTTATAGTATAAATATCTTATTATTTTACTATTAAGTAAGTATTAAGGTTAACTTACTTAATAAAAGTAATTAAAGTATTATAGCTAGTTTCTAAGTAGTAAGGTTTTTACTAATAGTAAGTAAAAGTTAATACTTAGTTAATAGTATTTATTATTCTTACTAGTCTAATAATTACTTAGTAATTAGTTATATAGTCTAAAGTTATAAAGTAGCTTATATAGCTTTTTATTAATTAAATTACTAAGGTTAAATACTAAAAAGTATTTAAAGAATATATTATAAAGTTAATTACTAAAAGGCTATAGAAGCCTATCCTTAAGTATATCTAAGTTTATCTTATATATAAGTCCTAATTCTTTTAGTATACCTAAAAGTAACGTTTATCTATTAGTCCCTTACTATAAAGTGCTATTAACTAGTTAGTCTTTTACCTAAAGTGCTTATTATTTATTAGTTCTTTTTATTATTATATAACTCATACTATAGTTCTTTTGTTTTAGGAAGTTATTTATCTAGCCTAGTTCTTAGTTTATATAAATACTAATGTTGCCCTTTGTCTGCCTGTTAGGTAGGGCAACATAGCCTGTTACTTATTAGGTTATAACAGGTTAGTCTTTTACCTAAAGCACTTATTGTCTGTTAGTCCTTCTTATTATTACGTGACTTATACTATAGTTCTTCTGTTCTAGGGAGTTATCTATCTAACCTGGTTTATATAAATGCTGCGGCCGCCTGTTATCTGCCTGTCTAGTAGGACAACATAGCCTGTTACTTATTAGGTTATAACACCTAAAAGTAAGTATATATCATATTTTTATTAGCTTTAGGTATAGTAGCCTATACTATTTAAGAATTATCTTAATATAGTAAAAAACTATAATCTAAATAAGCCTACTAGTAAAATAATATTATGGCCTAATAGGCTTATTATTTCTTATTTTTTACTTTTTAACTTAAACTATATTATTATAGTAGCTTTTACTTACTTTAAAAATAATAAGTCTAAAGAGATACTTTTTTTTATTTAAGTATATTACTTATTTTAATATCTTTACTTAAAGGTAGTTATTAAGAAGCCTTTTTTTAAGAGGTAAGTAGTATTTACTTAGTTAGGTTTTTCTTTAGTATAACTAGGTTTTAAAATAGCTTAAAGCTTTATAAGTTACTATAAGATAGTTAGATATCCTCTACCTTACTATATAGTCTTAATAAAAGTAGTAAGTTAATTCTTATGTTTTTAATAATTCTTTTTACTATATAAAAGGTGTTTTTTATTTAAAAAAGATTATTAGCCTAGCTAATATCTAACTAAAAGCCTTATTACTAGTTATTATTAAAGTAGTATAGTATATTCTTATTAAACCTTATAGTTATAAAGGATTATATATTATTATAAAGACTTTATAGTAGCTACTAGGTAGCCTTATAGGTTAGATTTTACTAAAGCTATATATAAAATTACCTAAAGTTAGAGATTTATTTAGGTTAAAGCGTTCTTAGTATACTATATCTTGAAGCCTATTACTTTTATTAAGGTATATATATCTTCTTATTATATTATAATACAAAGAGAATATTAATATAAATAATAAGAATAATAAAAGTAATAATATAATATAAATTAATAAGGTTATACTACTACTTAATATAGCTTTCTTAGTAGCTATTATAAATCTAATAAGATAAAACTAGGCTATAATAGTAATATAAAGTAATATAGTATAAAGGTAAAGCGTAATAGTAAAGTGTTACAGCTAGTTTCTAGACAGTAAGGTTTCTACTAATAGTAAGCAGAGGTTAGTACTTAGTTAATAGTATTTATCTTTCTTATTATCTTATTAATTACCTAGTAATTAAGTAAGACTTAGTGTTATAAAGTAGCTTATATAGCTTCTTATTAATTAAATTACTAAGGTTAGATACTAAAAGGTATTTAAAAATATATTATAAGTTAATTACTAAAGAGCTATAGGAGTCTATCCTTAAGTGTATCTAAGTCTATCCTATATATAAGTTATAACTATTCCTTAAATAGTTCCTTTAACTAATAGTTATAAAGTAAAATAAGTACTTACTTAGGTATATACTAAGCGCTTATCCTACTTATAAATAAGCGCTTATTTTTTATTTTATCTTATACTTATAGTTATATAACTTATGCTATAGTTCTTTTATTCTAAGGAGTTACTTTTTTATTTCCTTATTTCTTATTTATATAAACACTACTACTACTTACTATTTATTTATTAGGTAAGGTAATATAGCCTATAGCTTATTAGGTTATAATATTAGGTTTTCTCTCTAAAAGGTTTTACACTTAAGACTTATATAAGTAAGTTATATCTCTTAAGTTAAGAAGTTATTAATTACACTTCTTTATTTTTTATAATACTAACACTATATTAGGTTATATAAAGAAAATAAAATTATAAAGTGCTTTTTTTTATTATTACTTACTTTATATTATTAAATTTTCTAATAAAGGTATTAAAATAATATTATATTTAAATTCTTAGTCTTATAGTATATAATATTTAGTTCTTCTTAACTTTAATAATTATAACTGTATTAGCATACTAGTGCTAAGTGTACCGCGTAAACTGAGTTTTCAAGAAACGGCCCTGGCGGGACAAGATTGGTGATCGGCAAACGGCATGCCCAGTAGGAATCTCCATCCAGCCTGGGGGCAGCTTCTGGGACTGCTGGTAGGGGATACCTTCTTTAGACAGCTTTTAGTACTCTGTCACATTCGCGGCCAAGCATCTTATTCCCCCCAACGCGTTTAGAGGATTATAATGCCTTTAAAGTGGCGGATCTTTGTTTTTCGGGCCGTTGACTCATAGCCTCATTTTTCCCGAATGC